TGAGAATCAAATGCGATCAGAAATGTGGCTCACTTAACACAGTACCTGGCCCAGTATTTCTCTTCTTTTCCTATTACTCGCCCGCTTCCTTCCATCTCCCTTCTCTTCTTTCCGCAAACCTATTCTATTCCACGTGGCCTTTAAAATCGGTATGGTAGTGCTAGACAGAATGCAAATTGGAAAATCACTTTGGAATAGTGTTTGGCAACATCTGTTAAAGCTAAATAGGGTATACGCTGTGATCCAGAGCATCCATACTAGGTCTATGCCTAACAGAAATACACACAGAAGACCTTGTTCCAATCTGGAAACAGCCCAAATGTCCATCAGTAAAACAGATCAATAAATTGTGGAATAGTCATACATTGGAATACCATGTAGAATGACAGCAGATGAACCATAGGTCTATGCTACGGTATGGGTGGATCTCCAGAACATAATGTTGAACCCAAAGAAGTGAGACATAGAAATGTACATGCAATAATATCCATTTATATAAAGTTCAAAAACTGCCCCAACGAATTTATGGTGTTAAAAATTCAAGATTGTGGTTAACCTTGAAGACAGTAAGGAGGGGTCTTCTGAGGTTCTGGCACTATTGTTTCTTGAACTTGAAACTAGATGCATGGGAGTGCTATATTTGTGCAAATTCATCAAGCTGTACACCTATGATTTGTACATTTAATACTTAAGAAAAGCTGTATGGTATGCCACAGTGAATGTAAAAATTATGGAATTTGGGGCGCCTGGGTGGCTCAGCCGGTTGGGTGACCAACTCTTGACTTCAGCTCAGGTCTTAATCTCAGGATTTTGAGTTGGAGCCCTGAGTCAGGCTCCATGCTAGGTGTGGAGTCCACTTAAAAAAAAAATTACGAAATTTGACAGATTAACTTTTTCTGTTAGAAAGCACCCACATGAAATTAATCACCAAGAGCTATCGTTTTCTTTCCAGTTTCTCTGGCATGGTACCCTCGAGTATTCTGTAAGAAAGGAGTGTGTATTTTCTCTGTCTCTTCACTAGTTGCTCCAGCTAGACAATCATTACCTCTTCTGCTGGCAGCAAGGACATCTATGCAATCTGTCTTTCCTAAGTCTTGCTTCCTAGAACTGAAAGACACTTTTTAAAAGAAATAATTTATTAATTACTTATTAATTTGTTTTGACTACGGACAGAGTCTAATTTTTTAATCAAGTGTTTAATGTCTGAAGCTATAGACTTTAAATGGTGTTTTTAAGATTCATTTATTTATTTTAGAGAGAGAGAGAGTGAGAGCATGGTGGGGAGGGCCAGAGGGAGAGGGAGAGAGAGTCTTAAGTAGACTCCGCACAGAGCCCAATGCGGGGCTCGATGTCACCACCCTGAAATCACCACCTGAGCCGAAACCAAGAGTCTTACGCTTAACAGACTGCGCCACCCAGGCACCCCTGAAACTATAGACCTAAAAGATAATTCATATATACACATTTACTATGATAAAATTTTAAAAATACATGTTTATTTCTTTTTCCTGTTGATAGACTAGTAGGGTTCCTTTTCTTAAGGCTTTCAGCTGGGGAAGTTTAATGGGGTTCTTCCAGGAGAGGGTTACAGAATGGTGTGGTTGCTCAATAAGACATTGGGTTTTTGAGATTGTTCAAAGACCTTCTGATTAGTGCAAACTTTTCACATCCAAATAGCTGGAAGAAAGCTTTAGGTAATGAGTGTCCTTTATTTTTAGTGACTAAAAATATCGAAGGGACTTCCATGAATAATGAAATAAATTGATTCTTAGTACTAAGGGCAAAGAACGTGGGATATAACTATTGGATCGGTTCTTAACTTTTTTTCCTGGCCAAATCACAGTTAATAAGATGATCTTTAGTTGCTGGTGACTTACTAAATAAATCTTTAAATTGCTGTCAGTGCTTTTTTTTTTTTTTTTTTTTTTTTTTACAGCTAAGCAGATTCATGGCTGTGGTGTGGGTGTCCTGGAAGAGCTGACCCATAGTTAAAAGTCCAGCATTGCACAACTTGGTGCATGGAGATCGTTAATTATAATTCTGAGGTATTTTTGCACAACTGAAGTAGAGTGTACCATGTGTCATTCTCAAGGTAACAATCACTTTACTATTGCCTACTAGACCATGGCTTAGGCCTAGATTTTGAGGCACATAAATGGCCACACTTTCTCTCTCTAACCTTATTTCTTATTATCCTATCAATTAGCAGACTCTTCTCATATTTTCCCACATCATGCTCATTCATACCCCTGTGACTGGGTTTATGTAGTTCCCTCTCTCTTATGCCCATTCAACTTCTTTTTTTTTTTTTTTAAAGATTTTATTTATTTATTTGACAGAGAGAGAGAGCACAAGCAGGGGGAGTGGGAGAGGGAGAAGCAGACTCCCCGCCAAGCAGGGAGCCCAATGTGGGGCTTGATCCCAAGACCCTGAGATCATGACTTGAGTGGAAAGCAGACACTTAACCGACTGCACCATCCAGGCGCCGTTACCCACTCAACTTCTTTTTCATTTTTTAAAAAAGGTTTTATTTATTTATTTGAGAGAGACAGAGTGAGAGAGAGATCATGAGCAGGGGGAAGGGTAGAGGAAGAAACAGACTCCCCACTGAGCAGGGAGCCTGATGCGGGGCTCGATCCCAGGACCCTGAGATCATGACCTGAGCTGAAGGCAGACACTTAACCGACTGAGCCACCCAGGTGCCCACCCACTCAACTTCTATACTTCTTTCGAGTCTCAAATAAATAAAAAAAATCCACGAACGCAATTTGTCAGTTACTAAGTCAGAACCCAAAGAGAAGGAAATGCAGTCCTGGTATTTTATGATTTCTTGGGGATGGATAGTAGACCAGTTGTCCTTGCCCTTTCTGGACCATGGGGTTATTAGATGGCCTCTCTGAGTCAAATTTCCTAATAAGCATTTACTGAATGCCTGTCTGTGTCAGGTTCTGTGCAAGGTGTTGGGAATACAGGAATGAGTAGGACTGTTATCCTGCCCTCCCTCGGAGAACTGGCAGTCTAGAGGACCGTAAGCAAATAATTTCACACGATGTAATGTGAGTATGGGGCAGCATAGGACTATAGAGGAGAGACATCCAAACCGTGTGTAATAATCGAGGTGCAACCATTGGAAAGACCTGAGGAGGTGACACCTAAGCAGAGTCTTAGAGCATGAGTAGTAGTTAGCCAAATGAGGAGGGCGAGAATTTCCAGAAGAAATAGCATGAGCAAAGGCACAGAGGTGAGAAACGACAGGTAGGTGCCTGCACAGGAAACGACAGGCAAGCTTAGGAGTTTGAGGCAGAGAATGGCAAGAGATGCATGACAATGGGAAAATATCCCTCAAACAAATAATATTTTCTCTCAAATACCTTCTATTTTAAATATTATGTCCCTGATGCTCTAAGCTCTCAAGTTGTCAGACGCTTCTCTATGGCGTAACAGGCCGGGAGAATTGCTAGTTGTTTCCTCTGCATGCTCCCTACCCCTGCCTTGATATCCCCATAATCTATCTGTCCCTAAGACTCCTATTCTCTTTCTATTCCCACAGTCACCATCTGTTTCCAGCGCCCCTTGGTGGGTCCCTTTAATTTCTATGAGATGTTGATAGTTGGGGCAAATGCGACTAGATGTGTTTTTCAGCTCATCTTTTTACAAAGAGGGTTATACGTCCCTTTGCCTCTCCTTTCTTCTATGTCTGAGACAGGCTAATAATTCCTTCATTTTAGCCTTTAGGTCACACCTAGTTGTGTGTATATAATACTAGCAGGCACATGCACACACACACACACGCGTGTACGCACAAAGCCGGATGAAATTCATTAATGCTTTCTCATGACTACTTTCCCACTTCCCTCCTGAGCTTTTCTCTGCTTTACCTGTCCAGACTCCTCGGGGTGTATTTCTTCTGCAAGTGAGAAATTCGTGTTGGTGGATGGAGACAAAAGGAGCTGCACACAGGCTACAGAATTCGACTCTCTGCTGGTTCCTCTGTGTGCCCTGATTCCTACTGTGTTTCAGAAAGCAACCACCATCTTTGACCTGAGTCAGATTAAATCCTTTGAGCTTTCTGAGGAAGAGGTGCTACATTGGTAAACAGCATTATAGTAATTCTTTCCTCCCTGGCCAACCTGGAAGGCTTCCTCATAGTTTACTTTCCATAGTTACTTTGCAAGAGCAAAGTGGAGTCCTTTGTTAGGGTTAAAATTTCCCATAAACCCACTTGATAATTTGTTTTTGTTTGCCCTCTTTGAAATGCTACACAAAGCAATCCCTGTAAAGGGCAACGCTGTCCCGAAGGCTGAGAAAGGTCCCTGAGACAGCGGCTCAAAGTTGCTCTTTTCAGGCAGAGCCAGTTGAGTAATCTTATCTCAGTGGCTGCCTTTCAAGGTGCCCAATTCAGGCGCTTTCCCTCTGGGAGCAGCGTTCGCCCCAGGGGATCACGTGCTTTCGAGTGAGGGGCAAAACTTTGAGACCTCCCAGGGCCCAGGACGCTATGGTCTGTTCAGAAGAATCTTGGGGAACGGAACGGGCCCCACAGACCGTGCCCTTCACACCCCCGCCCCAGCGCCAGTGGAGATCAGCACTTGGCGTCAGGACAGAGACCAGATTAAGAGAGGAGGTTAGGAGGAAGCAGGGAACCGGGCAAAGGAGGCGAGATTGCGAAGGCACCTGCACGGCTCTGAGTCAAAGGCGGTCAGTCACTTTGGCTCAGGCTGCTCGGCTCGTGAACAGCCCAGCCCTTTCCTGGGGCCAGGGCAGGGGATTGCTCCATGCCAGCTTACCTGGGGAAAAACCAGAGCCTCACTTCGGTCCCTTCCGGTAACTGACACGACAGGGCGCCCTGAAGGGGGAGGGGAGAGCTCCCTCCATAAATGGTCCCACCCCTGGGCAAGGTGGCTCACTCAGGCAGGTAGCAACGGGGGAGTGTGCACCTGCCACCAGTCGAGCTCAGCCAGACTGCGAGACGAGTCGGAGCGAGCTGAGGGAGTGAGTCAACCATGGACAAGTTCAAGTGCCCGAGCTTCTTCAAGTGCGGAGGGAAGGAGGTAGGGGTCTGGAAACCGTGGGAGGTGTGGGGGGCCTGGGAAGGGAACACTTCAGGGGAGGCCGGCTCAGGTTTTGCCTTCGGCGGCTGTTCCTTGTTCTCCATATTTTTCTTCTGTTGCCTTCAAGTGTGCCTGAGATGTCCCCACAGGATAGAGGGAAAAGGGAACAACTCTTACTGGGGCAGCCAGAAGACTTAGGATGGATCACCTCAACCTCCGCCTTGGGTGTGCCCACAAAATCCTGGTCTTTGTCCCTCTCCAGACCGTGTCCATATGCTGGAGGGAAATGAGAAAATGCATTGTCCTTATCTGACCTGAGGAACCCTCCATACCCCAGAGCAGCTAACAGGTTGGGAGAGAACCCCTTCCCTCTGAGGTGGAGAGAGAGCTACTCCACCTGGTGGGACAGGAGAATTTGTCTCTGAATATTATTCTGTGGCTTCCAGCCGGGGATAGGGAGAGAAGTTAAACTTGCCTTAATTCCAAACATCCCAAACTATCAGCCTATAGGAAAAGGAGTCTATAAACTCTTTTTGTTTGTTTGTTTTAGTAGAAGCTATATTGGAGCCTTCTTCTCAAAGATCTCCTGCAATCTCAAGAGTGTTGATTTTACCTAATTCATCTTTAAGACTTTTGTATTTTTGAAGTCTTATTTGTGCACCTTCATTTGTCCTTCATGCTGGGTACCACATGTAATCCTTCTAGCAAAATTTGGATGATCTCACCCAAAGAAGTAGTAAATATTCCCACCTGAAGAGGTTTTTGGTTTTGTTTTGGTTTGGTTGTTTTTTTTTTTTGTTGTTGTTGTTGTTTTTTCATTTCAAGGGGTAAATGTTGTAAAGTAAAAGCGGCTATTAGCAGAAATCCCCTCAACCTTTGGAAAGTGTTTCCCTTGGCTAAGGCTTTCAGGGTTCATTCTCCCCCCACCTCTCTTTCTCTCTCTCTCTCTCTCTCATGTGTGTGTGTGTGTGTGTGTGTGTGAAACTATGCTTCTGTGGATTTTTAATAGTAGAAAGACAAACTCGTGATATTTTCTCTTCTCCAGAAAGTGACGGCTTCATCTGAGAATTTCCATGTTGGTGAAACTGATGAGAATCAGGACCGTGGTAACTGGTCCAAAAAATCGGATTATCTTCTATCTATGGTTGGATATGCAGTGGGATTAGGGAATGTGTGGAGATTCCCCTATTTGACCTACAACAATGGCGGAGGTACTCCCCCCCCCCCCGCCCCAGCTCAACTTCTTTCCCTTCCAGTTTAAATGGTGTGCTGTATGGCCTCTGAAGCTATTTTAAGAACTGAGGAAAGGTATATGACAGTTTGGGTTAGTGGGGGGATGGGAAACAAGCATACCGCATCCATCATTAGACTGAGTTGCTAGCTCAAGTTAGGAAGCTGGCTTTGCAAAATCCTCAGGTATAAACTTGATAAAAGTTGTACATTTAGCACTTTCGAGTCTCTGGTTTAGGATCCAATGTAATCTTCCGCTATGACTTGCTCTTCTTCATTTATACACGTTCATGTGATAATCTGTTCAGACTCAAGTTGTGTTTGGCTTAATTTATGGCTGAATCTAAGCAAGAGGCTGGGGATTCTCTTTCTAATATGAAGCTGAAATACATTGGTTGCTTAAGTAGCGTAAGGCATTACATTTTGGAAATACAAGTGTGGAAGGAGATGATTAAGAATTAAAGGTTTAGTATTTTAAGCTGCAATATCAAATTGGATTGACCATGTAGAGGATCCTTCTAGAATGCAACAGACTTTAGTTCAAGACTAGGTGTTTAATTTCTGCAAAATGATACTGTTTATACCTCAGAGATCATTAAGGAAGACTCAATTAGAACAAGGAGAAAAAAAAATAACTCTGAGGTGACATGCAAAGGGAAACAAAATGAATTGCACAATTCTCTAGTAGTGTCAAAACAACTTTTCACTTACACCATATTTTATTTACTTGTAATTACAGGTTCTATTAGAAGTGTAGAGGTGACATGCCCTTAGATTTCATAATTGGGAACCAGTGAAACTGTGCCACTATAATTATTTTTCTTGGTATAAAAGGATTTTGTGTGGTGATGTTTCAATCTTATAGTCCTTGTTAATTGGTTGCATTAGAACATTCATACTGGCCTGTGGAGACTTAAGAGAGAAGCTCTGTTTATCAAACACTTTAAGTGTTGGTGGCAATAAATTCTCCTCTCTGGAGCCTACATTGTTTAGTCATGGGTTGGGTCTAAGTTTGAACTGGAAAATGAGTTAGGAATCAACAATCCTTTGAATGCTTAAGTCCTAAGGTCTAGTGTAACGAAGAGCATTCAGACTTCTTTCCAGCCTCTAGTGCTCAGTTTCAGAAAAACCCCAGGTTCAGAAATTCCCCGTGTCTTACCATCATACATCAGTCCAGTGGTGGCCATAAACTTCCAGGAACTATATTAAACTAGGTTTAATAGAGAATTTGAAATGTAGCTCCCCCCAAAATGCTATTATCTCTCTCACCTTTTCCTCTAAAAATTAATATATCACATCAGTTCTCAGTTTTTAAAGATTGTATCCTTTGGGTAATGCATGATCTAGGCTCTTTGGATAGCTTCTTTCTCTCCTGTCCAAGTGTAGGAGGGGAACATGAAACTCAGATTTGCCAAGTGTTAATAGATCAGATTTTTAAATATGGTTAGGTTTGGAAAACTATGGCTAAAATCTGGAATCATTTTTATCTACAGATTCTTTTTACCAGTTTATAAAAGAGAAGCATCATACAGCCAAAGGGTCTAAGACGGCAGTATCACCAATTTGGGACCAGGATATTATATTAGCAATTTACCAATTATGGTTGTTAATAAAAACAATAATATAATGGGTAAAAAACTATATATGTCACTCAGGAAAATAATCTTTTTTTTTTGAAAAAAAAAACAAAAAACAAAAAACAAGGCAACTATTTATAATGGGCTATTAAGATTTACCTTACTGTTGTATTGAGACAGGGATAGTCTCTATTACTTTTCTTCATATTTATCACTGGTAAGACTAAAACTTCTATTAGTCATAGTAGTGATGGTGTGTACATTGCAACATCTATGAAAACATATTTGTCCCTATGTTCTAGTGACTAGTGACTTGTACATAACAAGTATTTTATTGTCTTATGATTTTTAATGGAATATATTTTGAGGGTTGGGAAAAATGTTATTCCCAGGTATGCCGTTACAATATCATAGTATGAAAAATACATGAGGGAAACAGTGCCACATGGGTCAATGAAATGTATGTAATCCAAAAGCCCATTTTTTAATCTACTGATCCCGGTTTCTTATTAAACTTTGTTAAGACTTCTAGAGTACTTGATCAATAAATTTAATATTCTGTCCCTGCTTCTACCTACAATCTGGCCAAAATTCGAATGAGCAATTTATTATGTCCCAGAAGTGGGTGGAAAAAAATCAAAAAGGGATCTGGATAATCTAAATGTATGAGCATTAGTCCTTCCTTTTAAAATAAAGAGCTAACTTTTTTTTGATAGAGAAAGAGCACTCTCACATGTGTGAGTGCTGGTGCGGGGGAGGGGCAGAGGGACAGAGAGAATCTCAAGCAGACTCCATGCAGAGGGTGGAGCCCGACACTGATCCCACAGCCCCGAGATCATGACCTGAGCTGAAATTAAGAGTCGGACACTTAACTGAGCCACCCAGGCGCTCCAGAAAGTTAACTTTGTGCCTCAAAACTTCAGAATCTTTTAACAAAACCAAGAACATTCTTATTAACATTGAAGAAAGGCCCTTATGACTATTTGGAGAATTATCCACTTAGCTGCAGTAACTTCCACTCTGAACCACATGTAGCATTTGCACCCGAAGTCTTAAAAAAATAGACTATTTGGAAAGGAGAAAGGAGGGAAACTAACTTTGAACACATACTGTGTGCCTGCCATTTTGCCAAGTGTTTTCACAGAGGCTCTATAATTGAACGCTTACCACAGACTGATGAGCTGGTATCGCTCTCCCCATTTATGAGGAACCCAACGTCCCGAGAGGTTAGGTAAATTGGCCCAGGTTACATAACTAGTAAATGGTGGAGTCAGGATATAAACCTAGGTGTATCTGGCTCCAGAGCCTGTGATCATTCACCTCCTCTGGATTGCTTTTTTATAGGTTATCGTTTTTAATAACCACAGCAACCTCTTTAGGTCATACTAGAATCCCATTTCACAGATGAGGATACCAAGGTTTAGAGAATCAACTACTTTCTCACAGAAACTGGTAAATCTGGGGCTTAAACCTTGTACTCTGACTCCACTATATCAGAATGCTTTCAAAATGTTATGCCGGTTATCAACGTGCCATCAACGTTTGGGGACATAATAGTGCTTTGCTTCTCTTTTGCATTTTCTAGGTGCCTTCTTGATACCTTATGCGATCATGCTGGCACTGGCTGGTTTGCCTCTGTTCTTCCTGGAGTGTTCACTGGGACAGTTTGCTAGCTTAGGTCCAGTTTCAGTTTGGAGGCTTCTCCCATTGTTTCAAGGTTAGTGTTCACATGTTTTTCTTACTGTGCCTACTGGTCTCTTGGGGTCTATAGCTGTCCGCACTAGGGGGCGGGAAAATGTTTCATATTTGGACATGTTAAAGGCAAAGAAGCAGATGTTGTTTTGCTGAATATTTGCCAGAGAATTGAAAGACCAAATGGTAATTTGTATTTCTGTTTCTCTCGGGCTGAAGATACAGAAGGGGTTAGGGAGGATACTGGAGGGGGTCGTTATTGTCTTATATTCACCTTTTACAATCCCGTGGCATATAGTTATAGTCCTGTTATGCATTAACTTTGTGGCTCTGGCTTTTTTCTCCTTCACGTGCCGTCTTTTGTCTTCTCGCCTTTGCGTGTCTTTGACAACGCCTCATTCAGAAAAGTTGGAGGGCAGGTCACTATGTTTTCTGGGACACTCCCTAATAGAATAGGACACTGGCGAAGTTTTTCCGAGTGCCTTGATTGTTATTAAACATCAAACAGCCTTCCTGTCTGAAGATTACACATCCTTTTGGTGTGTATGGGTCATATTCAGTATGCTAAACCGCATCTTGAAACGATGGAGTTCAAGAAATTTTGGACGTTTAAATTCGGATTGTTACTGGATTATTGACTTTTCTTTACATGCGCTGCTAGAAATCCTGTATATTAACTCCGAGCCTTTATCTTCTACTTGCCAAAATATTGGTTTATAGATGAAGATGTAAGTAGTGGTCAGTGGGTCAATAGGATATGAGCTTTGTTTGTTTGTTTTTAAGAACAGGACCCACTCTGCCAAGAACTTTCAGACATAATAAGAGAGTGATGGCCATGAGCGATTCTTTACGTGAACCTGATGGATCCACACAGGTCTTCTGCCCTTGGTCTTAGTACCATTTTCTAATTAACTAAAAAAATGGTTTCAGAAGGTCAATCATCAAAATAATTTTAAATTTTGGAAGAAGGCTATTTAGACAGTAGTCCTTCCTCCCCACTCCCCTGCCGCCCACCCCCCAAAAAAGAAAAGACAATGTTTGAACCTGCCTTCTCATTTTCAAATAGATTTTGTGAAAATTGAGATGCAGCTTTTTTTATGAATTAGCAAAAGAAATTGCACTTGTTTGTTTTTGATTTTAATTGTTCTCTTTTCCAGGTGTGGGAATTACAATGGTCCTGATATCCATTTTCGTGACAATCTATTATAATGTCATAATTGCCTATAGTCTTTACTACATGTTTGCTTCTTTTCAAAGTGAACTACCATGGAAAAATTGCTCATATTGGGCAGATGAGAACTGTAGCAGATCGCCTATAGGTAAACTTCATTTATTTACCTAAAAATATTGTGAACGAAGCATCATTCTTTTATTTTTTTCTAATAAGCTTAAAGGGTTACATGATTTTCTAACAAATTTAGGGGCAATTTAAAGTGAGCCACGGGTGGGGCACCTGGCTGGCTCAGTCTATAGAGCATGTGACTCTTGATCTCGGGGTTGTGAGTTCGAGACCCACGTTGATTACTTAAAAATCAAATCTTAAAGTGAGCCCAAGGTTATTGATGAAAGCAGGGTAACTTTGGCTAACTTTGAAAACTGATTAATGCAGTATGTTAATTTCTGAGGGCCGCCAGTAAAGCCAAGCCCTCCTTAGGAGTAGGCAGGAGAGAAGGAAGAAAGTGGGAAAGTGGTAGAGACAAGCACTATCCATGATAGATAGTACTACTGTGTTTCAGGAGCCAGTGAGTATCATCCACATAGTAAGTTGCTGATCTTTGGAATCAAGTAGTATTGATATTATAGACTATTACCACTGGGATTGTCTATGTATATTAGAGAATAAAGTAATAAAGCTTTAATGCTTCTTAGGAATTTAAAGGTGTCATTTATCTATATAGGTTAAATAAGTCCACATACTAACAATTCCTTAGAGCACTAAGTCCTGTCCGAAATGATTGTTACTTTATAGCGGTTATTATTATACATATAATCATAGTTTAAAAGGGCAGATATTTACTCACCCCCAGGTTGGTAGTAGAGAAGATTTAAGATGCTGAATGTGCATGGCTTATTCCATTTGCAAGATTTCTCCTCTGCCCTCACCAAGTAACAATCTAAATGGTTTAATTATTTTACCATTAAAACTTTTTTTCAGGAAGGGCACCTGGATGGCTCAGTCTGTTGAGCAGCCGACTCTTGGTTTCGGCTCAGGTCATGATCTCAGGGTCCTGGGATCCAGCCCTGCATCAGACTCCACGTTCAGTGGGGAGTCTGCTTCTCTCTTTCTCCCCATCTGCGACTCTGCTCACATGCTCTCTCTCTCTAAAATGAGTAAATAAATCTTTAAAAAAAAACACTTTTTTTTTTCCAGGAAAGTACTTGTCTAAAACTAAGTACGTGTCTCTGTGTGTATTCTTTTTTTATAATTTTTAGTTACTCATTGTAATATCAGTACACTTTCGGGGGAGAGCATCCAAGTGAATAAAAGCTTGGTAGACATCAACGCTTTAAACTGCATCAATGGAAGTGAAATTTATCAGCCAGGGCAGCTTCCCAGTGAACAATATTGGAAGTAAGTATGCTAGATGATCTACTTCTTTTTGTTTTTTTTTAATTATATTATGTTAATCACCATACATTACATCATTAGTTTTTGATGTAGTGTTCCATGATTCATTGTTTGCATATAACACCCAGTGCTCCATTCAGTACATGCCCTCTTTAATACCCATCACCAGGCTAACCCATCCCCCCACCCCCTCCCCTCTAGAACCCTCAGTTTGTTCCTCAGAGTCCATAGTCTTTCATGGTTCATAGATGATCTACTTCTTAAACAGATGTTATTTAAAAGTTTTTGTAAATAACAATAAAATATTAATCAGCTTGTTTCTTACCTCATATAGGTAGGAATAAAAGGGGAATCAGAGCAAATTATACTTGATAGGACTCAAATGCTTATCTAGCCTGTGTGGGGAGTAGTAACCTGAAAGATCAGCTTCTAGTCAACAAATTGTCATTTGTAAATTGCTTATCAAATGAGAGCAATACTGTCAGTAATGATCTGTTTAGTGTTTATTATATATAAGTTAGGGCATTGCTCTGAAGAATAAATACTCAAATTTTAGACTATAATGAGCAAATCTGAATAATAAACTGTTGGGTGATGAGTAATATTGGGGGCAAAATTGCCATTTAAAGCTGTAATTCTTCATTATCCATTTTGCTTATAATTGTCATTATATGATAAAAATAGATATTCAGGGTTATATTTATTTGTATTAACTTTAATTGATCACTCTTTACTCTCCTGACTTATACCTACATTTTACCCTTACCAAACTGCCTTGATTATTGCTGTAATGAGCTCTTCCTCATCTACATGTTCATGCTCTGTGGGACCCTTTCAAAAACTGGGTCTTAAAATGTTCCCAAACACCAAGCTAAGAATTAAAACCTTAGATCCATGCATTCCTTAATAGAAATCACTGATTTTTACAGAAAGCCTTTGAAAAAGTCATAAAAATTGGAATCATTTAGGTTTGATGCTAACTATAAGTATGATGAATAATTTAATTTTAGATGTTTTCTTCATCTTTTTACCTTGAGAAAAATACTGTAACAAATAAAAGAAATAATCTGATAAGGTTCTTTTTTTTTTTTTTTACATAAAAGATCTTTGAAATATTAGGGGGCAAATCATAGCTAAAGGAATTAGTAGATTTTTTATTCTGGGGTTTGGAACTTTGGATTGGCTACAGTTAACCCTAAAGTTCAGAGCCTAGCTTTTTACTGAACTATTTTTGCCCCTCTGTACAATAGTATCAATAAAAGGCTCACATGGGTGTGCCTGGGTGGCTCAGTCGGTTAAGCGTCTGCCTTTGGCTCAGGTCATGATCCTGGAGTCCTGGGATGGAGCCCCGCATTGGGCTCCCTGCTCAGTGGGGAGTCTGCTTCTCCCTCTGACCCTCCCCTCTCTCGTGCTCTCTCTCTCATTCTCTCTCTCTCTCAAATAAATAAAATCTTTAAAAAAGTAAAAGGCTCCCATGACATTGATGTATTAGTAAGATAGAATACTCATGAAACATCTCCCTGGATGATAGATATTACAAAATTCAATGTATGAAGACAAGTGATTCTGTGTTCATAAAAAAGGCTTGTGTGTTTTCAGTAAAGTGGCACTCCAGCGGTCAAGTGGAATGGATGAGACTGGAGTAATTGTGTGGTATTTAGCACTTTGTCTTCTTCTGGCTTGGCTCATAGTTGGAGCAGCGCTATTTAAAGGAATCAAGTCTTCTGGCAAGGTAATTTGGAAAACACATTAGATGGTGATGTAGCTCTTTTCCAATTTCATTGCAGTTCAATGTCAAGCATAATCAAATGCATGTTTTTTTCTATAATGGGAACATTCGAATGTGTGAAAAGCTTTCTAAGTAGGCAGCCTAGCTGTAGGAAAATACATAAGATCCCTGCTATTGGTACAAATACAACAAAACAAGCAAAACTAGTACTAGGGTTGTGCAATTACAGCTGACCCTTGAACAACGTGGGGGTGAGGGGTGCCAAACCCCCCCTTGCATTTGTAAATCCAGCTATAACTTTTGACTCCCCCACAACTTAACTACTAACAGCCTAATGTTGACCAGAAACCTTACTGATAACCTGAAGTCAATTAACACCCATTTTAGTATGTTATATATATTATATACCTTATTCTTACAATAAAGTAAGCTAGAGGGGCACCTGGGTGGCTGAGTTGGTTGGGCGTCTGCCTTTGGCTAGGGTCGTGGTCCCAGGGTCCCGGGATGGAGCCCCACGTCAGGCTCCCTGCTTGGTTGGGAGCCTGCTTCTCTCTCTGCAGCTCTCCCCTGCTCATGCTCACTCTGTATCTCAAATAACTACTAACTAACTAACTAAATAAATAAAATCTTTAAAGTAACCTAAAGAAAAGAAAATGTTATGAAGAAAATCATTGGAGGACATCCATTTACAGTACTGTATTTATTGAAAGAAAAAATCCTCATCTAAGTGGATCCACACAGTTCAAACCTGTGTTGTTCAAAGGTCAGCTGTATCAGAAGTTGGACCCTGCTAGCTAATATAGCATTCGGAGACTTGAGTGTATATTTTAAAATTGTGTGTCCTCTTACATAAGTAAGCATCTTGGATGGAATTATATATTGCAATGTTTGGTTTGGCAAGTCTAGATCCTCGTTATATAAGGTTAGTGTAGGGATTCCTTTAATGGGAGAGAGAAAAAAAATCAAATATGCAGTTGTTCTCTTAAAGCTGGCCAGAATTGACTCAGAACCGTCTTTTTCAGTGAAGAGCCCTCTTCTGAAAAACATTATACTTTCCCCCTTTATTGTTTTGTTTTTTAAACTTTCCCGAGAGCATCATGGCAATTTCAGGGAACAACATGAAATTTTCTCCATGAACAGTTGTAATGGGACCCAGAAAAGTGAATATTTATGGTAACTACTAGACTGAAATCTCCTTAAAGATGGAAGACTGGGGTAACTGTGGATACTACCTTTGTATTCCTGGTATAATATCTAGCGCATTCAGTTCATGCTAAATTATGATGAGACATTCTGTTAGATCACAAAAATATTGTGAACCTCACAAAGTCAGTGGAAACTTTCCAAAATAATGTTTCAGTTGCACATTTTTGAAACCCATGGTTCCTTTTTGACGTTAATATTGAAATAATCCATTGAAGGCCATTTGCCTAGGCGATTAATTTTTATTGGTCTCTGGATGACTTTAAATTGTCTCCTTGGGCATATTATCAAACACAGGACATCTATGGATCAAAGAAATTGTCCACATTAATGAAAAGCCGGCCTCAAAGGCAATCTGCTCATCTGGAACCATGTGTTATCCAGGATACAAGTACACAGGGGATTTAGACATCTACTAGGAGATTATTTTCCTTCTCCTTGGCGACTGAATATACACTAACTATTGCAAGTGTACAAGCATTTCCCTTTCTACCTCAATGCAGTAATTTACCGAGAAGTGATATTCAGTCCCTTCAGACATTTACGGACATATTTAGGAAAGCACTCTACCTAGATTCCAAGTTACCCCTGCTGATGTACTGTGTATTTACAACGTGAACCCAGGAAATACTGCTTCATACATCAGAGTGTTTTGAAGATGGATCATCTGAGAGTGGGGAGAAGAGAAAGAGAAAATTATGCCATTTTTGGTATCGGTATCACCAGGTTTCTTAATAACTTATGAAATCTTTAATACTTTATTTTACTAATGTCAACCGGCTAATAACTTTGTGCGTATACAGTTACATAGCAGGACTTAAACATTTAACTTATCCACCACTGCTTGTTTTTCTTGGTAGGTGGTATACTTTACAGCTCTTTTCCCCTATGTTGTCCTGCTCATCCTGCTAGTCCGAGGGGCGACTCTGGAGGGTGCATTGAAAGGCATTTCATACTATATTGGAGCACAGTCAAATTTTACAAAACTTCAGGAAGCGGAGGTAAGACTTCATTTGGATTTCAGATTATCCGAGGAGGTAAACCTTAAAAAAAGCAAACACTGAAAATCCTTGGTTGCATATGAGTGTCATAATGTAGTGGCTTGCAAAAGAACATGAAGTTAAATTTAGTAGTGTTTCTGTCCACTAGGAAGTCCAATGTAGCCATTTCACATGACACTAGTGCTTTCCTTTTGGAAGTGAGATCATCATTTTTAGGAGTAAGGCTTTAAAAGTCATATTATTCATATAACTGATTCTATTTGACCAAAAGGATTTGGGGCCTATTAATCTGGGAAAGAACCTGTCATGTTTGGATACCTACCTGCAAGCTGATGAGTAGGACAGTGAGACTTCTTGGATAAACTCATAGATTTCAAGATTACAGGTGAAAGTCTAATGGTCTAGTATACATTTTAATTGTCTTCAAAAGTTAATATCCCCAAGCTAAGATCAAAGTGTACCTAATGGATTAGGAAGTTAAACCACAAATTTGAAATGAAGCATTCCATAAATGAAACTGTTATTTGTCAACATAAATGTGTGCCGTGAATATGAATTGGGTAACCCTCTTTTAACCAGTCTTTCGCCAGATAATGGCTGTGTATATCATGGATACATAAAATCTTTTACACTTTTGACTGCAGAGAGCATACAGATTAAGTGTACTCTATATAGGATGCATCTATTCACACGGCCTAAGAATGGTTTCACTTTGTCAGTAATCACATCACATTCTTGGCACACATTAAGCTTCTGGCCAGCTAAAACACCAAGTCTTATGTTGAAGTCAAGAAACACTATGTTACTATAATCTTCCATAGTAGCAGTGCTATCCAAAATGGATATTCATTTGCTTGCTATGGTGTTCTTTGAGGAACTGATGCTAATTTCCAGCAATTTGCTATTTTCTAAATACTTACAATCTGGATATTTACTTTTTTAAGATTTTATTTATTTAGAGAGAGAGCGCATGTATGGGGAGGGGCAGAAGGAGAAGGAGAGAGAGAATCTCAAGCAGGCTCCCCGCTGAGTGTAGAGCCTGACGCGGCCCTCGATCTCATGACCCTGAGATCATGACCTGAGCCAAAATCAAGAGTCAGACGCTTAACCCACTGAGCCCCCCAGGCACCCCACAGTATGGGTATTTAATTATTTGTTGTAGAATTTTTCTGGTAAGCAAGTCAAATTTATCACTTTTTAGTCATGACAATCCTTCCTTTACCTTTTTTGAAAATTGAGATGTCAGTGTCTGGCCTTTGGTTTCCTGTACCCAAATAATTTTCACTCAGCAATGAACCCGCAACAGACTTAAATTATTTTAGAACTATGAACTTTTATTATTTTAGTCTTGGAGATTAATATAGTTTGATGTGTCCACAGGCCATTTGTTCATTTCTTCATTTATCTTGGGCCTCACATCTTTTAACCTTGTTTGTTAATATCTTTCCAACTCGAAGACCATTTTTGATGATGAATAAGAAACAAATAAAATGGAAGTTGGGAATCATCATCTTCTCTCTGTTAGGTTGTTAAACAAGATAAAATATTAATTAATGCACTTTCAAAATGGTAAACTGTTATATAAATATGAGCACACAATTATTTCAATTATTGCTGTTATATTATACTCTACTATTATGGATGCAACATTTTCCCTAAGAAGAGGACCCTCCATTTTCTTTAAACTTCTTAACTTTGAGCACAGGTGAAAAGCCCCTTTGATATTCTTTAAGTGACTTTTCCAAGCCTCAGATCACCTGAGCTTTATAGTTCCTGAAAAAATTATATGATTATTTTATATTGGTCTGTTTCAATGTCTCTATTACCTTTAAAATATCAGACCTAAACCTAAAGCTCCCTTTGAAACATACAATTTAATCCTCCCTCCTCTTCACCCCAATAAATACAGTACCCCCACTGGTACTGTATTACTGCTGGTAATGAGAGTTTTTTCTTAGACCTTTTTTTCTTTCTCACAATCCATATTCTGAGCATGGGATCATAAATATATATATTTTTCCTTTTCTTTGACTATCTGAACTTTGTTGCAACCTCTAGGAGAGCAGAGAACCATACAAATTTATAGCTAGAAGGGTCTTCTGGTCTTCAATGATTATTTTACTAACTCCTTCATTTTACAGTGATGAAACTGAAACCCAGAAAGATTCACATTTAGTTAAATTTACACAGCCAGTTTGTGCATCTTGAATTAAGATTTTCTAATCCCTAGATTACTAATTTTGTATATAGCTATGAGATTGATAGATACAGAGATTAGAACTATGTTTGGAATTTTGCTTCACTTTATTTGCAAGCTAGGTACACATCATGGTCTGCAGTAGCATTTTGATAGAACCCAGACCTGCTACACCAATTTCCAGCTCCCCCTAACTCACATACGAATACAAAATGTATCAGGTAAAAGCAGCTGAGACATCAACATAAGCATGTTGTTCATCTCTTAATATGTACAGGTGCCTAAAAAATAAGAGCATTTTATTTGTAATGATTTTGTTATAAGTGAAATAACATCTATCTATCTATCCATCCACTCACTCTGCTTTCTACTGGCTGCAATTATAATGTAATAATAATCTAACATCAAGCTGTATTCTGAAGACCTAGTAAATTTTATTCCCCAATGACTTTTATATCTATTGAAATTGGAAATAGATTACATACCTTTCAAAGGGGGAAATTATAATTTTTAATTTCCATAAAAGAAACCGAGTATCAATTTATGATTATTTTCCATAGTAACAATAATAGCTACCATTGAGCATCCTAATTGCTTTACATATGCTCTTATTCAATTCTCACATCATTCCTAGTACACTTATATCATCATCATCATCTTCATCATCTCCATTTTACAGATGAACGAACAGACTTAAAAATGTTAAATAAATTGAAGTCAAGGAGAGTAAGAGGTATTGGATATAAATTTCATTCTTTTTGACTCCAGAGTTAGAGCTCTTTGTCGCCATGTTATATTGCCTGCTTTTCACTGAGCAGTCCTGTTTTTCAATGGACTAAAAAAAAAAAAAAAAAAAAAACCACTTTTGCCCAAATCTTTGCCAATCTATTTGAAATCTATACAATTAGGTTTTTTCTTTTGTAATGTTCTATCTACAGAATTTCACTGTTAACATGGATTTGCTTAGTTTCTGAGATTATTGTCCTTTAGCAAAGATATAGGAGGGGTAAATTGTAAAAGGCAGACTAGTAAAAGGGTGGGATTAGATGGAATGAGTGGGAGGCTGCTTAAAGAGTTGAGGTTGGCTACGCGAGGCTCTAATCGAACAAACACAGGATGAGGGAACTGGTGATCTAAGGGATTATAAATATATCATTATTCTTCAAAAATTGCCTAGTACTGTCCTTGTTAAGAATGGATATGTATCTATTGTCCCCAAATTGATATGTGGAGTCAATAGAATTTTAATCAGATTGACAGCACAGTTTTCCTTAGTTGTTGAGAACGGATTGTAAAATTTACACGCAAGAGAAAAAGGCAAAAAACAAAACAAAACAAAAAAACCCCCTGTTTTTGAAGAAGGAACACTTGTCCTACCAGATATGAAACGATATTATAATACTATAGGAATTAAAATAATGTGGTGTTAGCGTAGATATAGACTTACAGACCAGTGGGACAGAATAGTCTCAGAAATAGGTTCATGAACATTTGGAACTTGATATGTGGCAGTGGTGGCCATGCAGATCAATGGGGAAAGGATGGACTATCTAATTGATATAACTGACATCCAAATGATTATCTTTAGATAACTGATACTCCATTTAGAAAAGAAAATGAATTGGACTTTCCACTTTGATATGTACTGTATCAATTTTTCAGGCTAATTGAAAACAATATGAACAAAGCTTTAAATCTTTTAGAAGAAAATGTAGGACAGTATCTATGATCTTTGGCTAAAGATTTCTTTTTAAGTCAGAGAAATCAAGGACAATACATAAAAGCAAAGATGGGCACCTTTAGTTACATTAAAACAACAATAAAATCTTTGGCTCAAAAGAATAAGCCACAAATTGGGAGGAAAAAATAACATATATAATAGACAAAGGATTAGAATCCAGCATACATAAAGAATTTCTAGAGATCAAAGAAGACAAATAACCCAAACAAGAAATTGGCAAAAGACCTGAACAGGAATTGCACAGGGAAAAAAACCTGTGGAATATGAAGACATAAAAACATACTAAACCTTATAAATAATTAGGGTAATGAAAACTCTCATTTGACAGCCACCAGACTGGAGAATATTAAAAATTCTGACCAATACTGGCAAGAACGTGAAGGAATGGGAGCTCTCACACCTAGCTGGTGAGAGTCCAAAGCGGTAAAATAATATGGCACTATTTCATAAAAGAGAAGATGCATATACTCTTTGACATCACCGTTCCTCAACTCGGTATGAGGAGACATGCACAGGAATACTTATAGCTACAACATTTTTAATAGCAGAATATTGAACCACCTCAATGTCCCTCAACAGGATAGAGGATGATCTGTGGTATATACAGCGGGGCAATACAGCAGTGAAAAAAAAGTTCAAAACTACATATATTTAACTAAGCCATATGAATTTGTCTATATTTTTTCAGTTTTGGCACAAAATTAAAATTTCATATGGTTCAAATTGATAGCGGATAACTCTCATACAATACTGAATGAAAAAAGGCAAGTTGTATAGGTTTACATGCATTTAGAAAACTTTTCTATCAACTCAATAACATGAAAAGCTAAATACCATATTGCTTGGGTTTACATGTTTCTAGGGTAAAATCTAAAGAAAAATGAGGAAATGAGAAACCCAGAAGTCAGGATAGCAGTTACCACTGGAGGGTGAAGGGTGATCTAATCAGAAAGGGGCCCTGGGAGGTTTCCAAAGACTGGTAACATTTCATTTTTTAAGCTGAGCAGTGGGTTTGGTGTTCTGGTGTTTACTTCATTATTATTCATATTTATTCATTTGTATATATGAAATCTTTTGTAGAAGTAAAAAGTTTAAAGTGTATGTTTTTAAAGATGAAATTATCTTCTCTTATAGGTTTGGAAGGATGCTGCCACTCAAATATTTTACTCCCTTTCAGTGGCTTGGGGTGGCTTAGTTGCTCTATCATCTTACAATAAGTTCAATAACAACTGCTTCTTAGATGCTATTTTAGTTTGTCTGATAAACTGCTTCACTAGTGTGTTCGCTGGATTTGCTATTTTTTCTATTTTGGGACACATGGCTCATATATCCGGAAAGGAAGTTGCTCAAGTCGTAAAATCAGGTATGTGATGCTATACATTAATAACTTCACTTAATTCGGTGTAGCTCATTTAAGAAACACTAATACATTTTATAGCAATTTACTTAAAGCACTCAAGCGATGTTTAGGGTGTTGCATTTTCTTTCTCATTGCATCTTATATAATTTGATTACTTTAATGATGTAATAATTCTTAGACGGTTTGAGAAAATAGGACTATATTAGGGAATAATTGTTTAAGAAAATAATTTTCTGAATTTTGTCCAGTCCTTAATATGAACTGTTTACTGTACAAGTATCAGGCATCATGGATGCCTTTACATGTGTTATCTTCATTTAATTTATACACATATACATGTGTGTATTCATATATCTATGACTGTATGAGAGTATATGTGTGTGTGTGTATTCTTCCATGTACAAGTGCAGCCTTGGGTCTGAATTTTTAAAACACATTAATATCATATAGATAGAAACCCAGGTAACTTTGAGTGTCCAGCTATGTCCAGCTTTAAAGGAATCTGATTAATGAACTTCCTAACTTTAAAGACATTAGCTAGGGATGCTTAATTATCTGGTTAAGATTCTTAGGAAAAGAATTCCAGGGTTCTTAGTAGTAGGAATCCCCCATTAAATTTTTATTTATGGCCAATATCATTTGATGGAGAGACCAATGCAGGAAAATAGAATGTTAGGACTAGAAGGGACTTTATAGATAATCTAGTGTCCAGCTCCTCATTTACAGAGAAGTGGACTGATGCACAGAAATGTTATGTCTTGCAGAAGATTAAATCATTAGGAAGTGACAGAGTCTAGGCTAGAAGCTAATCCTCCTGAATCCTAGGTCAGTCCTCTGGGAGTCTGGAGAAACTTAAAATACTTCAAACAACTAAGTATCACATAATATAATTGAAAAAAAAATTAAAAGCACCTCTAACGATAATATACATCAAATAGAAAATAAGGTTCAGCTTCTAGTTTTGTTACATACAATTTTGCAAGTGTCCTTATACTAATTAAAATGGCTCTACAGCTAGTGACCCTGGGTGAACATCTGGAGAGACAGCTGAAGACTAAAAATGTAGTTCCATAAGCATAGCTCTCTTGATAGTGTAATTCTTCTAGAATTTCTAGGCTAAGATAACTTAATTTAGGTTTCTGGAGTTTAAGACAGTTGTTATTCTTCATGCATCTCTAAAAAATGAAATAGGTTAAACAAAATCGTTAAACAGTTAAGATTTCTTATGCGAGAAATGTACCATTTACAAAATTCATCTCACTAGCTTAGTTCACATCACATGCTCACATTATCACTTCATTGAACAACCAAGTCAAATATTCTTAAAAGTGGCAAGTGAAATAGTTGTCCGAGAATGTATATCATGGATTGAGTCGGCAAATCAAAATGACATTTTTCCAGTATCTCATTTTGAAAATGTCCAAATGTGTGAACTTTTTGGCAACTAATTTAAATGAAATGTCATACATTTTTCTTAGGTTTTGATTTGGCATTCATTGCTTATCCAGAAGCGTTAGCCCAACTCCCAGGTGGCCCATTTTGGTCCATATTATTTTTCTTCATGCTTTTGACTTTGGGTCTCGACTCTCAGTTTGCATCCATTGGTAAGTAATACTCCCAGTGTTACCATATCCCTCTTATATCCTTTTCTTACCCTTGTTTTCCCCATTAGCTTTTACTCTTAGAATCTGAAAATTCTTTTTAACTTGATTTTAAATACAGAAAAGTACAAAGTACTCATGTAGTAGATACCCAAAAGGAACAGACATTAATATCTTATATTTGCTTCAGAAATGAAATTGAAGTCTCCTCTTTTTCTCTCCCATATACAATTCACATTTCTTCCTTCCTAGAACTAACTGTCCCCATGGATTATGTGTTACTCAGTCCATGTCTGTATATGTTATATATGTATCCATAAATAACATATAAATGTTATCACATAAACGTGAAGTTTCATAACATACATATCATTCTGACAGTTGCTTTTTTTACATGTATTGTGAATCTGTGTTGATACATACTCATATAGATCGACTTAATTCACAATCTGTTGCCATAATGATGGGCAGTTGGATTATTTCCGAATTCTGACAAATCACACATGCTACTGCAATGACTGTTCTTGCACGTGGCCCTAGGGTACACACCTAGACATTCTGAAACATTATTCATCAGATCACTCTTACATAACACACTTTAATAGTTGACTATGTACAGCATAAAGTCTGGCTTCCTTTAGTTGTCTTTCAAAGCCCTTGAAAATTTCAAACCTGTATCTTAATTCTTTCACCCCTACATCCTTCTGCTTTCAGCCAGTACTCTGTTTCATGAACACATTTATTTCTTAAACCTAGAAGGCCTTTCTGTCTCCATGCCATTTATTCAAATATTCACCTTATTTAAAAGTTCTCTTAGAAGTCTTCCTTTCCCATAACCCTCTTTCAAACTACGTCAGCCCTCAGGGATCTGTTACCTTGTAGTTACTAGCGATGAAAAACCTTGTAAAACAGACTAAAAACAACGAAGAAAGAGAGCTGCATTTGGTTTTTATCCAAACCAACAAGTGGTGACTGCCAAGAGAAAGGACCCTATGGATTTTTAAAAGCAAGGGGTAGGCACTGGGTGTGATATGCAACTGATGAATCCCTGAACTCTACCTCTGAAACTAATAATACATTATATGTTATTTAATTGAATTTAAAGAAGATAAAATTTAAAAAGAAATAAAAAATAAAGCACTTCATGTAGGGAAAAATAAATAAATAAATAAAAGCAAGGAGAAGGACCCAGAGTATATTTTCAGCATATATTTGTAAATTTGATTAATAGAAGTTGAATTCTTTGATTAAAATTATTGGCAAATGAGTTGACATATGACATGCCATTTTTTTCCCCTTCTGAAGAAACAATTACAACAACGATTCAAGATTTATTTCCCAAAGTGATGAAGAAAATGAGGGTTCCTATAACTTTGGGTTGCTGCTTGGTTTTGTTTCTCCTTGGTCTCGTCTGTGTGACTCAGGTATTACTATGGTATTTTTTCATAGACAAATCATTAGTTGGAACGTGCTTTATAATCTAAAGGGGGAAAACAAAGGTTTAAGAGGATGTTTAAGGACAAGTCCAAGTCTGATTCAGCTCAAGGTTTTCTGAGTTTGAGCCCAGAGTTTTTCCCAGTATAGCACAATTTCGATAGTTAAGTATTGTGAAGAGGGGTGGTGACCCAATATTGGACAATTTCTCCAATTACAATAAAGTTATAAACGTTCAACACATACTAGCCTTTGGATAGCTACCACACAGCACACAGCCACTGCATGTCATTTTGATAATCAGCTACTCTAAATGCTTCTTTTTTCCCAGTGACTCAGGATAGGATGAAAGGTGCATCCTTTTTGAGATATTTAAGGCCACATTTGTGTTTACATTTGAAAATATTCCTTTTTCACATCTTAGTACAGGTGAAACCAAGGAGCACATGTTAAAATCAAATGAATAGATTTGATTTAAAGACTTCATCAATCCTAAAAATAATTAAAAATATACTTAGATGTAATTGGTATTTTTTTTTTTTTGGTAGGCTGGAATTTACTGGGTTCATCTGATTGACCATTTCTGTGCTGGATGGGGCATCTTGATTGCAGCTATACTGGAAATAATAGGAATCATCTGGATTTATGGTAAATAGTAACTATAGAATTATCTACACATTTTATTAAAATAACTTAGTGTGATTCTTTTTCATTACATTTACTAAAATTGTAAAATATAATAATACTGGAAAAAAGGTGTATACTTCATTGCTATAGAATAAGAAAATGTTTAGACAGAAAGATAATTTGGGGCCATAATTATTAATGGAGGAAAATGTGAGCAAGGACTGAATGTACTCTTTTTTTTTTTTTTTTCAAAGGTGGGAACAGATTCATTGAAGATATAGAAATGATGATTGGAGCAAAAAGGTGGATATTCTGGCTATGGTGGAGAGCCTGCTGGTTTGTCATTACACCTCTTCTTCTGATTGTAAGTAATTAATATGCCATGAATTTGGTATATATTTGACCATTTCTAAGATAAACTTGAAGAATAATTCATATTGGAGACAATAAGGCAAACTAAGGTCATAAATTAATGACCTTCAACTTTTGCTTTATGACTGCAAGTTGCCTCAATTAAAATGCCTTCGCAGTATTGTTTTTGAGGCTATAGGTTTAAACATTTACCATCTGAGAAAATGATCAGGCTCCTATAGACTTAAAGGTCCTACGTACTTAAAAATTATCAATCGAATAAAAATAAATCATTCATCTGCTGGTTCCCTAAAAAATATGGTGAGTCATCTACAATGTTCCTAAACTCTCTGCTAAGACCCAGACATGGACTGTAAGGATTGTGATCTAAATATATTAATTGCTAAGAAACAACACAGATTTTAATGCATATTTTTTTCTTCATGGGAGGGGTTTACTATCTGAAATTACTAAAAGAAACCACTGTCAACAGAGGCAATCGTTTATGTTAAATTCAACAATTGGTGCTACTTAGGAACTGAGGGAAAGCAAAAGATACCCTACTGGAGAGACCCGGCATATAGACATATCGTTAAGTAACAGTTCAGGGCAGTCAATGACAAAATAAACACTTAACAGGATGGAGAATTACTGCAATGGTGGAGGTGGGGCAGGGGCAAAGCTTCACAGAGGATGTGTTTTGGTTCTCATTGCCTCCAGGCTTCAAAGCCTTTCTTAGGAAAGGGCATTAAATAATTTGATCCAGAATTTGCTTCACATCTGAAGCATTGTGGTTGTTTTAGAGGGTGTTAAGTTTTACTTTTTTCACATTTTATAAGGTCAGTTTCAAGTAGGGAGCAATTTGGGACTGGATGTACTGAATTAAAATATTTTGGATGTTCTGTATTCTAGCTAAATGATTTAGACAGTGGTACTAAATATTGTTTTCCTCTTCTGACAATTCTCCATAATAAAATAAACTCTTTATCAATTCAGAAGCTCTCACCAGACTTTTTAGCCAGCTAGTTTTTATTGATTACATAGCTCTGACAACTGGATTTAATTTAAAATGCAAAAGTATTATATATTAAATGATATACATTATTGTCTGTTTTGTATAAAGTGATGTGAAGTCATGGATACTCCAGTATTCCTCACCCATTCTCTTGTAGTTATGGAAAAAAATTATGATAATTGGGAAATACATTTAAATTACTGTAATTAAGTAGAATTCATCTATTAAATTGATTATTAATTAATCTATTAGATAAAATTAATCTATTAAACTTAACCTATTTGATATTCTTACATTCCATTTCCTCACTGATTTTAGTAAAACATAGACAGCTAAATAATTTAGAGAAACTACTAGGTGACTCTGGTTTTTGTTTTGTTTGCTTTACGGATTTCTAAATAATTAGTTTTAATGCTGCAACGTGTCTAGCAGGTTTTTTAAAAAGTTTTTTTTTTTTTTTTAACTTGGCTTTTAAGTGTTTTTCTTGTTAAGATTCAGAGTTCACTGTTTCACCCAAACATACATTGAGCTTGTTTTTCTCTCAGAGAGGCTGGAAGTGAAGTGTGCTTTAGCAAATACGTACCAGTAGCTTGTGAATGTGTCTGTGTTTTGGGTGTGGAGTAAGGGGTGCTCCGTGCAGTGAGAAATAATAGAAACAACTGCTAAGCAAGGAGCAAAGCATGTTCACTAAAGGGTACTTTACATTCTCCTTGAATGAATTGATATGCTGGCTAGCTTATAGCATAGAATAAAACCATACTATTATTAAGTGAAACTTAAAAGTTCAGTCATGGAAATGTTCAGATATTGTTTTATTTTCGATCTGAAATATTTCACGATAAAGTAGTTTATTGAAAAACATCTTGGACCAGCATTTGTATCTCTTATAAATATACGGAGGTGCTCATTTTGGAAGAATCTATTCAAAGCCAAATACAAGTTATTTAGATTAGTTCATTTAGTATTATCTTCTGGCTAGTTACGGGATTATCTTAGTTGCTTGAATCTATCTTCATTTTTTTTTTTTTTTTAAAGATTTTATTTATTTTTTTGCGAGAGAGAGAATGAGAGACAGAGAGCACGAGAGGGAAGAGGGTCAGAGGGAGAAGCAGACTCCCCGCTGAGCAGGGAGCCCGATGCGGGACTTGATCCCGGGACTCCAGGATCATGACCTGAGCCGAAGGCAGTCGCTTAACCGACTGAGCCACCCAGGCGCCCTAATTGCTTTTGATAAATTATTTCTAAGGATAGGAATCAAATTCCTAACAATTAGTGCAATTGAAATCATCAGTGCAATAAAGTCTAACCTTTAGCATTGTCTCTTCATACTTTACTTTCACAGGCAATTTTGATCTGGTCACTCGTGAAATTTCATAGGCCTAATTATGCCAAAATTCCATACCCTGACTGGGGAGTTGCTCTAGGCTGGTGTATGATTATTTTCTGCATTATTTGGATTCCGATTATGGCCGTCATAAAAATAATTCAAGCTGAAGGAAATATCTTTCAAGTAAGCACATTTATATTATTTATACTTTTTTATAGAAAGCACTTATCAAAATGAAGATTACTCATATGGTGGTAATATGAGATTATGAACCTTTAGGCTACTTCTACACCTGATACAATCATCTGATTACTATGTGCATAGCATAGCTTTATACCATATATGTATTTGTGTGTCTCGTACTAGACTCTAAGCTCCTTTAGGGAGAGTCTTATGTTGCTTGCTGCTATATCCTCAGGCCCTATGAGCGTGCTGAGCACATAGAAGTAATGTTTATACTCGTACTGAGTTTCCCTGAAGATGACACAAAGCAAAGGACCTTTTTGCTTTAGACCTATAATCTTTAAATACATTGTCTGGTTATAATACCTGTCCTCATAATGTGTTTAGACTGGAAAAAGCCTGGTAAATTATTTCAAACCCCATCTAGACCCTGAGTGATCCCTCTTGCATAGAGGTGTAGGCAGATGGAGTTGATTATGACATCTCACTAGGACAATGACTAAGACAAATCTCAGGAATCAGATTTTAAATAATTTCCCAAGCCCACCCCGATCAATGGTTTGACCCTGGAGCTCCCTTTGTTCGGTTCTTGAAACCTCCCAAGTATACACTGGTTTAAATCCTCACCTAACCCTCCTTCTAAGGGCAGGATAGAAATGTCAGATAATTCAATGAAAATACATGGATTGATTCTGTTGTTCAAATGGGCTCATACACTTTCTTTTAAAATCATTTACGTACTCAGTTATTTTGGTTTCATAGTTGGTGTAATTCTAGTAACAGTTAAATCTGCGTATCATTTTTTTAGTATACTGTATTAAGAATTTTGATGATCACTTTTTTTACTTTTCTATGGTTCTTATTTCATTTTGGTTAGCAAAGAAACTTAATAATACGGTTTGATATTTGCTTGTTTACAGATTTTAACACTTATGGTCTAAAACAAGCTTTTTTTTTTTTTTTTTTTTTTTTTTTCCTTTTCAGCGCATTGTAAGCTGCTGCAGACCAGCTTCTAACTGGGGTCCATACCTAGAACGACATCGTGGGGAGAGATATAAAGATATGGTAGATCCTAAAAAAGAGACTGACCATGAAATACCTACTGTTAGTGGCAGCAGAAAACCAGAATGAGATCTAATTTTTTAAAATACGTGGCCATACAATGTGATTATTTTAGAACAGAGGAAAATTTTATTTATTTTATGTTAACGGAGTAGAAAAATGTATATACTATGTTCATGATGGTATAAGTTTTTCCCATTTAAGCAGGAGTGTAATATAATGTGAATCTACTAATATTTAACAATGTGATTATATTTCTTTTTAGATTATCTACCTGTATAACACATACATAGCTGTCTCTATGTCACAGTAATACTTTTGTAAATATTACCATATTTTTCTAATATACCAAAGACTTTATTTTGAGCCAGTTATTTAGAAAATTGTTATATTTTCTATTATACAAGTTTAAAAATATTATTTGCCTATATTTTCTTAGTATATAATCCTTCTTTTCCATAAAGCTGGGGAAAATAAATCAGTATATTTAAAAGAAAGTGTTAAAATTGAAGGCCTCATTTAACTAGAAATGCTACACATACATGAAAAAATGGACTGTGTCTATGAGCACTGTAGTTTCATACTTTTAATCCAAATATATCTAAAATTTTCATGTATTTATGGGTCTCTTTTTCTATGTGAAATTAGTGGTTATGTTTACTTACAAATAGTGAAATAAGACAGAAAAATAAGGAGTCTATGGCCAGTAAGTGATAAATCTAGAAAATGGAATCCAGAAGCTTCAAGTACTTCTCTCCCCATATAATGTCTTCCTAGGTTATACTTGGAAGAAAATATCTCCCACCTGATTTCTACTGTGTTTCACAAAATTAAGAGTTGTTCATTATACTCTCTGAAATCTAGGTTTATTTTCAAATAGAACATGGGACAAAATGCTAATGAGGAAATGGCTTCAATCAAATCTAAGATCTTATGATTGTAATATATCATTAATAGATCAAGTAAAATGATTTTTGTCTTATTTGAGTAAGTTACTACTTACAGGTGATAACTTATTTATACACTTAAAGGAGATAAACTTGTCAAGAATGAGGGAAGGCAAATTAGAAAGTCCTATGTCCCAGTTTCCTTAAAAAAAAGATAATGAAAACATATCATTAATAGGCTTATACATTGATATTATTGACCACTGGTTTAAACATCACAGCCTAGGATAGTGAACATTGCCTAAATATGCAAGAAACTTCTCAGCTGTTCTTAAGGTCCTTAACCTTTCAGGTTATGTTCATATGTTCAGAGAACATATGAAACCGACATTATACATAATATACATAATATCTTTCTATGTGAATGTGTACTTGCATTTTCTAGGGACAGAGTCTAGAGTTTTCATAAGAATAGCAAAGGGATCTATGACTCAAAAAAGCTTAAGAACCACATATACTACTACTTCTGGCTTTTTGTTCTCAGCAAGTGAGGAATAAAAGGAATCATTTTAAGCCTTAATTTCTGATACATTTTAGATTCCTTTTCCTCTTCCTTTTGATTGAAGATTAAAGGAGTAAGGGATTAAGGTATTTAATTTATACTGGTAATTTATTTTGGGGAGAAGGGGCATGAAAAACAGGCCTATAATTGAACAATTTCAGTGAGCTATGTACATATATATAAAATGACCTTGTGTTAGATATTCTGAAGATTTTGGGGGTAAGTCAAATGTAATTAGTGAACTTCAACAGATTAATTCCTCAGTTACACTGGATTTTTATAAAATATTTGAAATAGATGGCTGACTAGAGTTAAGAAACACTTTCTCTTCATTTTAATCCATATTACATGCATTCTATCATTATATTTTGGTGCTATCTGAGGTGCCAATTTTCTTTTTTTTGTTTTGTTTTTTTAAAGATTTTATTTATTTATTTGAGAGAGAGCACATGAGAGGGGTTAGGGTCAGAGGGAGCAGCAGACTCCTTGCCAAGCAGGGAGCCCGATGCGGGACTCGATCCCGGGACTCCAGGATCATGACCTGAGCCGAAGGCAGTCGCTTAACCAACTGAGCCACCCAGGTGCCCTGAGTGTCAATTTTCCACCAAATAGAAAAACGCATGCCATTTTTTGTAGGTGATTCTTGTAATTCAGGGAAGATTTAGGCACATTTCTAATGAAATAACATCAAATTGATGGAGGAGAGGGTGATGGGGAAGAAATCCCCTTCAAGAGCTGACTACAAAGAGTAAAGAGTTTGTGTGATTATCTTCACAAGTGTCTAAAGCAAGATCTTAACAGTGCCTGGCATATTTTAGGGTGCTCAATGATAGCTCTTATTACGGATTTGACAGTAGTAAGAGAGAATTCTGTATAATAGAAAGAGTTCCATCAAATCCCATTTACTTTAATGCAAAAAGACATTTGCATATTGTATACCAAAACTGTTTTTCACAGGTGAGTGAAATTGAAATCACTATATCTCAACTATATTCTTTTTGCTGTAGTTTATTTTCTAACGCAAAACTGAGGAACCATTTCTTTCTCTACTGTACTTTCATTCCTTCCCCAGTAAAACATATATATATATACATACATACATAAATATGTTTATATATGTTTATAAACTAGTCAAACTTGTATATATAAAATATATAAATGTATAAATATATAAAACATGTAATCAATTCTTAAAATGTCAGTAAAAGCAAACTGATAAACGTCTGGTTTTTGTACCTGACTTGGCATCCCCTCCCCTTTTAAACAATTCATTTGGTATAAACACATATAATCAAATGAATTCACTCAAAGTGCCTTTAATGATTGCCTCCACTGTCATTACATTCTCTAAGCCTGTCAGATTTCCAGTTAACTAATGCACCATTTAAACCCTTGGTAACTAGGAAATGTTCCAGTTCAGCCAGCTTGTATTCCACGATCCTGAGGTTTGCCAATATTCGCTTCTGCATGGTTATGATGTGTGGGGAATTAATTAAGATATCCTGAGAGAGGCTGTTGACTGAAAGACTCTTATCAGTATTGCTCTTAGTTGACCCAGTAGAAGAGGTTGGTCTTACTAGTGCAAGAGAAGTCGAATTTGATGACATTTCACCAACGCTGCTCTGTAAGGGAAGGAAATTATACACATGTAGTTTATTGAGTTTAACAATTTCCAAATACAGTTGACCTTTGAACAAGGTGTGTGTGTGGGGGGGGGTAAAGGCATCGATTCTCTGTGCAGTCAAAAACCCATGTATAACTTCTGACTCTCCCAAAACTTAACTACTAATAGCCTACTCTTGACCAGAAGCCTTACAGAAAGCACTTGATTAACACACATCTTATATATGTATTATATACTGTATTTTTACAATAAAGCTAGAGAAAAGAAAATGTTATTAAGAAAATAATAAGGAAGAGAAAATACATTTGCTGTACTGTATCAAAAAAAGAGAGAAAGTAAAGACCCATGGAGTTCAAACCTATGTTGTTTAAGGGTCTACTGTACTGCCAACTAACATGCTTAGTCTCGGTTACCAAAATAAACTGATTGTCCTCCCCTAAGAATTAGAGATTGAAAATCAACAATGTTGATTTTGGAAATACGCTCTTCCCAAACACTGAAAAAAAAAATATATGAAAGTAGCCTTTAAATATCAAAATGTCGTATCTTTGGCTTACATTTCTTAGACAGAAAAGTAGGTCTATACCTGGACCCTCATCCTCATCTAAAAGGATCACTAAAGATCTAAAGTCACTTGCAGCTTTCAATATCACCAGGAAACCCACATTTTGACCTGAATTATTTGTGAAAGCCCAAATACCTGCCATACAGATGACTGAAACCAGGGGAGAAAGAGGCAAACAAACCTAAGGAGCAGTAGAAACTAGAGAAGAGAGAGAAGGTACAGATTCCTAAAACAGGAGGTGGTGGAGCGGGCACTTTCAGCTCTCCTTTTCAAGTGGGTGAAAAGCTGACCACATACTCAGTGACTCGGGGCCTTTTACAGCAGACCACAGCTGCCCAGTCATTGGTCGGTAAGAAAGAAGCGTTGGGGGTAAACATCTGGGGCTCTTGCAAGAGAAGAGGAATGAAGTAACCTTCTCTTACTCTTACTTTACTATTTTAGTATCGTTCTACTCTCTCAGACACACACCTCCCATCCATGAACCACCTCACTTCATCTAATTCCAGTTTCTCTTACACACTGTACCTGAAAGTGGCTTTTCCAGAAGACAAACAGAAAAGCAAACAGAATACCGCTCAGTAGAAGCAACAGCATGCTCATGTTTCCTCTTCCGCCTCTTTCTCTGGGGCACGGAGGCACTCGGCTGGCAGTTGGGGAGCAGGGGGACACTAGTTACCCGGACTAGGGAAGTCGCGGGCCAAGATGATAAGCATCCCACACTGCCTGGTGCAGCTGGAAGACGGTTCCGCTTTCGGCTTTATATACTGCAAAGGGCGTGTGACGTCACAATCGAGCACCTACGTGAGGGCGCCATGTCACAATCTGATGACGTAAGACCCAGAAGCAGGCGGCGTGACATCGGCCTACTTGGTTGCGGCGTCGGGTCGTTAGAGAGGGAGGTGAGAGACACCCGGGGCGGTCGGGATTTCCAGGAAGCTGAAACACTGTAGAAATAGACTCGAAATTCATCGGCTAAAGACAAGATTTTAAAAGTGCTCGTCCCTCCTTTTTTTCTCTTTTAAGTTATCTTTGTCCTTGCTGCACCCACTCCATTATTCATTTCAAAAACAAGTTCAGAAACAAGATGGAAATGTACTGTGAAAAGTAGTTACCCACAAACTGTGTGAGTCTTTGCCAGAAACCTCCTCCACAGTCCCATTGCTGTTTTAGGATTCACTTTAACCCTATTCACATTGGGCTAATTATATACATTTGTGTCACTGTACAGCTTAAAAAGTAATTCCAGAGACATTCTCCCACATAATTCTCACAATACTTTTGTGCTATAGGTATTTTTAATACCGTGTCTACTTTCAGAAATGCAGAAACAGGTCAGGTATTAAGTAAACTCATTTGAAACTAGCAGCAAAAGCAGGACTCGAATCCACAGAGTTGAGTCCTGAGATGAACTCCCCCATCCCCATCCTCAGG